TATATTGAAGATAATTTTTTTAATTAAAAATTAATTATATAATAATATATATTATTATAAATTTATAATAATGTCATGTAATATTAATATTATGAGTATATAATTTTTGCATATATTATCTAATAAAAAATTTCAAAAAATAAAAAATTTTAGCTATAAAATATATTTTTTCATAAAATAAAAAATTTATAAATCAATACCTCCAGAATTATCAAATTAATAATTTGTCCTTCAACAAATTAAAATTCTTGGTACGTAATTTACATCCTTTTTTCAGATTCAAGCATTTAAAAGAACAACGGCCAAAAAAACAAAGGGCTTTTAAAAGAACAGAACAATAGAGCAGGTGTTGACCGTCCCAAATTCTTAATATAGGGGACCTTTGAAACGCCGATTATTCCAGATTTAGGGAGCGGTGGCGGCGGATGTAATGATTAGTTTGGAACTCCTGTGGCCAATTTAGCTCTCAAATCCTTTCTCAAAATTTTTCCTGAGGGTGCCTTTGGAATGACGTCCAAGAAGAACACACGACCTATTCTCTTGTAGAACACCACCTGCACCATATAAATTGTAGACTGATGTTCAGCTTCCAGGCAAAAATAAATAAATAAATAAGAGACTTGTGCCGAAAAAAGTCATAGATTTAACAACTTTTCAATCAAGATTTGTGCAATTCTAAAAAATTTTGGCTCTTTACGTGACATTCACTATCACAATTCCTTCCAGATGTGAAATTCAGGGTCAACAGGAAAGAGAAATGAACATGAAATATTGAAAAATTTGGGTACCTGTTTTGAAATATATTGTTTGATTTCATCCTCGGTTATCTGAGAACCGTTAGATCTCACTACAAAAGCAACGGGAACTTCTCCGGCAGCTTCATCTTTCAACCTGGAAGATCCATACAAATATATGTATTTTTTTCATTAGGTGAATTTTGCACAATAAAACGGTGAAATTCAATGTCCATAGCACTATTTTTGTGACTTACCCGATCACGGCTGCATCATGGATGTTGGGATGGGCAATTAGCATTGCCTCAAGTTCTGCAGGAGCGACCTGGAAACCTTTATATTTGATAATCTCCTTCAATCGATCAACGATGAAGAGTTCATCATCGTCATCTATGTAACCAATGTCACCAGTGTGCAACCATCCTTCCTTGTCTATGGTCCCGGCCGTGGCCTCGGGGTCATTAAGATATCCTACATGTATTAACCAAACATTAATCAGTCACGTTAATTTACATTTTTATTTAATTAAAAAAATTATTTTATAATTTAAACTGTATCAGATTATAAAATATAAATTATTAGATTACAAAAGAGTTAATATTAAGAGACTCAATTTTTATTTAATGATTAATGTTATACAATCCAATATAATTTAAATTGTAAATTTTTTTTTTCTTAACAAATTAAAATGGATTATGAATGAAATAATAATAGATAACCAAGTAATTAACATGGACCATTAGATTGGGAGAACACCCCAAAAGACTCAACTTTCATTTAATAATTAACTTAACTTTTATCTAATAATTAGTATTGTGTAATTAAATATAATCCAAACTAAAAAAACATTTTTTCCTTAACAAAAAATGATTATAAACGAAATAATAGGTAATTAAGTAATTAATATATCAATTAAATTACCTTTCATGATCTGATCTCCTCTTATGCAAATTTCCCCGGGTTGGTTCCGGGGGAGGGAGGCACCGGTGTCGGGGTCAACGATCTTCATCTCGGCATTCCTAACCACCGTCCCACATGCTCCGGATTTTACTTCAAATGGTTCCTTGGCAAATCCCAAGCACATTGCTAGGACAGGTCCAGCTTCCGTCATTCCATATCCCTACAATAAGTTTTGGGTGTTATTAGGTTGGAATTATGTACCCTATGGACCTCCAAAAAGAATAGCTAGTGTTGAAATTGGTTACCCACCTCCTGAACTTTTTTTTATTTTTTTATTTGTTTCAAATTTTTGGCCTTGGTTGTTGTTTATTTCAATTTGTTTACCCC